AATGTACAGAGCTAAAATGAACTCACATGAGAAGAATTGTTGGGATGTTTAAGCTATGCACGAGTAGACATATAATGAATGACTCATGTTAAATCATTGGTACACAGGAATATGTTTTTGGTAATTTTTCTGGTGACAATGTATGTAAAAAAAATGAAATCACTTACTTTTGGGTTTTGGGGGAGGTTTTCCTGATGGCTGTGGTTCCATTAAATAATCTAAAATTCGGTGTATCAGGTCTTCTTTAGTTCCACTTTTCTCTAGATCCAACCATCCACAGAATTCCTTCAGTCCTGTTAGTGTGTGTCTGGAACCAATCAATGTAATCACTATGTTAGTGTGTGTCTGGAACCAATCTAAAGTTTAACCAATTTAAAGGAAAATTGTCAAACCTAAATACACAAGTCTGAACACATACTCAAATCACGAAGTCTACACTTCTGCTCTACAGATCTTTTCAAAAATCCCTTGGAGATTCATAAATAGTATCGGGGTTCTGAAAATTTTATTCATTGAGTTATTGCAGTCTGAATTTCACTTTTTTGTTGAGTTGGCTCTTGCGGAACTATATTCAAGATAGAAACTAATTAAAACCTCATTTGCATACGGGCTGCCAGCTGGCTGTATAGGCAATGGAAAATATTGTCCATATGATATGTAAAATTAGCAAAGAAAATGTGCTGCAACATTTTGCATCAATAATTTTACGCGATTTAGAGTTTCCAAAGTACATGTTAATCTAATGCGAGTAGTTCTGGAGTGTGTGGTGTACAATAATATTTCAGTTGCAAGTGGAAGAAGAGCCATAGGATATCTCTGTTACAGGTGGGAATGGCCTCTATCAACTTACTTGACAAGCTGATTTTCTTTCTTCTCATACCCTGGTGAATCACTGGAAAACGAAAACCCAGAAAACTGACGAATGTTCCTTTTGATTTTGAAAGCCTGAAATAAAACAGAATTCAATAAAGTCAAAAACAGGACCTCCAGTAAGATAAAAAGTAAAGGGTACAATAAAATCCTGGTTTAATAATTAATAAACAAGTCATTGTCAGTGATAAGTCCTTGTCCAGTTTTTAGTGTCACTGTAAGATTTATAAATTGATTGTAAAGCAACCAGAGTAACTTCAATTACTGAATTACAAGCTGCACAAATTCCTCTGAAAGCAATTACAAACAACTGATTTACAAAAATGCTAAACAGTGACATCCCTTCACCATTAACTTACCAGGTAAAGCAAATATAGCCAAGAAATCATGCAACTAGACCCACTGCTTTAACTTCACAGAGGCATTGTTTGTGCCCTCCCACCCGCTTTCACTTTTCAATCGCTTTTTTTTGCTTGCTTTTGCAACCACTTGTCCAATTCCACTGGACAATTTCCGCATTATTTTTGACAGCGCAAACTCGGAAGTATCCGTACACTTACTAGCTCACTCATCTGACAGCTTACCCGCCTTCACAGTCTATTAACTATTGTTTCATGTACATGCATGTTATTTTTGTTTTTTATGATGTTAAAAGAATAAATACAATCAGAGGTGAATGAATCAGTAATCTAGAGAACGAATTATTGAATGAATTGAAAAATTATGGTCGATCACACACTGCCCATACAGAATAACTATGTGTAGTAATATGAGGTTATTACGATGATACTGCAAAGCATACACAAGGAAAATACAGAGGGAGTATCAACCGACACGCAACGAAGGTCAATGAGACTGCTTACTGACTTGTACATCTTTAACTCCCAAGAATACATCATGGGAATGCCGAAATGCAAAATGCTTAGAACAGAGTTAGTGAACTGTGGGATCAGCCATGTTTGTTTTTATTATTAGAGGATGCTACGAGCATAATAAATCATTCCATATTTTGAATTCAGTCGTTAGTAGGAACCACCAAGTGAAACACGTTTTCCCCTCAGATGACAAACCAAATTTTGCCGACCACGACTTTCCTTTCCCATGGTTACTTGATAACCCCAGCCGGTTACATGATATTGAAAAGTTCAGCATAACCGGAAATAATAAAAGATGATTCAGTCGTGATCACTAATCTACTCAAGAAGTGGACCACTAAAAGTGATAAGCCGAGCAGAGTTGTTCCACCCATGTGTGGCATCATTGCCCACATAACAGACTTGACAAACATCATCAAATAACGCGACGAGCCAATCGTTGTTGGAGTTCGACGGCGGTAGCGACTTCAATGTAAATTTTATCACAAATATTTTTTAACTATACAAGACTGCCTGATTTTAACAGCCTACTGCCCTGGCTACAGCACGTACAACATGACTGCAA